TTTAATATAGGGCCAGTCACGATAGGATAAACGCGGATATACATGTTGAAATCTCGATACATAATGAGACTTTATAACAAATTTTTCAATAATTCTTCGATTTGCAATTCCAAATGGCTCAAAAAACGGAAAGTTCACTGTATACGGAACGTGTTAACGCTACAAGTCACGAACAGCTGGCGAATCTCGAATGAATATTGGCGAATTTTCCACAAAAAAAGAAAAAAAAAAAACAAGAAAATGGAATTCTCGAGACCGAAGCGAGGAAGCGGGAGATGGGGGAAGGGTTTATAGCCGTCTTGGAGGGAACGTCGCTTAATATCGTCTTTTCGCGAAGCACCGGCGGGGTAAGCTTAACGACGTTTGTAGAAAAACAACGAGTCACAACCGTATTGTTTGCCTTCGTCGTGGCAACGCGGCGCTTTTCAACTGAACCGCGACGCATTCGAACCGGCGGGGCCGATTTCACTAAGACGTCTGTTTTCATCCGTTTTGCTCGCGCACAATGCGCGCCAGGAGTTATTCTCCTTGTAAATTTCGTTGTTTCGAGGGGGTGGCGATGACCGATGGGGGGGGGGGGAGCGGGAGAGGCGAGTGGGGTTGGTGGCCACCGCGCCGCGTCTCGCGTAATGAGAAATCTCGACGACCGCCGCCAGCGTTAGCGTAAATATCGCACGCGTTCGCTCGTTCGAGATTTTATTGTGTTCGGTCTTTAAACGCGGCGCTTGATTAAGATACGCCGTGTTCATCGACAGAAAGAGAGAAAGAGAGAGAGAGAGAGAGATACGCTGTTGAAATTATTTCCGCTGAACTTCTTTGTGCCTCGCGAAGCTGCGAACAAGAACCGACGCGGTTATAAACGCGTGGATATTGCGTTGCGTTTAATTCGAATCGTTCGAGTGTTTTAGGCACTCTGTGTGGCAGGTTCGTTCGTTACATTGGACGTCGTTCTACAAAAAAAAGGAAAAGTCCGAAAGCATTGTACTTTCATGGAATTAATATTTTACTGAATAACGTACGATATTTTCCATCGCTTCGCTCGTTGACCAACTACAATTTTCCTAAAAAAGATAATTCGTCTCTATTCGTCGGTGATGAGAGTTTTTCAAGCACGTATCGCAGACTCTTTACTCTCCAATATGCTTTATCTTCCAACGTTGAAAATATCGGATAAAAGTGGAAATAAATGATGGTGATACTATGCTACCGTCCGCCGGCACTGCCGGATGAGTAGAATTAAACTTTCAAGCTACCGGCTAATGTCGTCTCGCTGAGAAGTATCGACTGGTGCCCTTTCTCGTATTTTATTCAATTAAAAGTCCCTCTTAACATTCGAGAAACGTAAACGAACTTGGCCGTTGCGATCTGTTAATATAACACGTCCTGATTTCGGTGAATTCGTCGAAGCAAGACGGAGGAACGAGCGTAACGCTTGTTTTCCGCAGCCTTATGGTTAACGAACACTCGTCTCCGCTGTGAAAATTCCGTCCGCGGAATTTCCGCTTTGCTACTCTCCCCGCGATCGTGTAAGACACCAGCGCCGTATTCGACATGTTTCTAACAAGAAACGCTGAAAGTAATCTTATTATCGTGGCTGCGCCGCGTGTTCTCGTGCGTCGGGATGCCTGCTCACCCTCTCGTCGGGGAAAAATGAACTCGCATCCTCGCGAAAATCGGTTTTCCGGAGTTTGAGGGAAATATTCTTTCGTAAATGTTCGAAAATGAAAATGTTCCGTTTCGCTCGTCTTTTCCGTCTTTTCTTTCTCACTTTTCGGCTGGCCGTGGCCGGTTCGCCGCGACGAAGCGAGAAAAGAACGATTATTTTTAATTTAACGTGACTCCCTGTGTCGTTGGCGGCGAGCTGCAAGAGAGAAAACGAGAGAATTTCTTTCGAGCTCCACAGGCTGTTCTTTTATTCGGGGCGAAATTCGCGGAAATTTTATACGGAAATAATTACGCGCGCACCTCCCCGGGGGCTCGAGTTACGTCGTGAGATCTAATTCGACAACGGTGCGCTTTCGGGATCTGGCTAAACGAGCGTTGAACTTTGTCACAGAGAACCTACGCTTTCCCGTTTCATCTTTCGTTACCGCGTCCCGGCAAATACCCGGTCTGTTCATTAGTTTTCGCCGTATTTCCACGGTTATTCGATTACGTTGGATTTCTACCTTGTAATTCGCATTTTTGCGCGTCGCGGATCTTCGACCTAACTTCTACACGTGTCGTAGGTTATCCTCTTTCCAAACAGGAAAGTTTTCTTTTTCTCTCGATTTGGTTTATCGATCGATCCACTCGTCGTACAGGGATACATCGTTTCGCGACGCGTACGATAACGAAGATATAATTGCAACGTAGCAGTGCGTTTGGGGAGGAGCACTTGGCTCGTCTCCGCGGAAAATTCGAGTCGGTCGAAAAAGAAGACAGTTTTCGTGGCAGAGGGCGATCTCTCTCTCTCTCTCTCTCTCTCTCTCTCTTTCTCTTTCTCTCTTTCTGTCAGGTGGATGCACCGCGGTGGATTCAAAGAAGGCAGGGTTAGGGTAGGACGGATGGGGCTGACTAGAGTCGTTTCTCTCTTCCCGTAGGTTTCATGGTTTGTAAATATTACCTGCCACGATACGTCTGCCGAGTTTATGCTTGGCTTGGTTGCCGCGTAACCGAGAGCCGTGTGATACGGGGTGGTGGGTAGCATGCCTGGAAACCGGCGCTGCGCGAGCAGCAGAGAAAGAGGGAGCAAGCAGAGGCGAACTCACCGAGTTTTTACCCCATTCTGGAGTCTGAGTGCCTCGCTCCGCTGACTCTCGAAACGGGTTGCACAGCCGAGTCCTACACACCACCACATTTTCCTTTACCCATCCCCCTGCTGCTGCTGCTGCTGCTGCTGCTGCTGCTTCCATTCCGCCTCCTCTTTCGCCACCAGCTCCTTCTCCTCGCCCCGATCTATCCCCCTTTAACCTGTCTCTCCCTTTTTTTTCTCTCCCCGGCGTCGGTTTCTCTCTCGTTTCGCGTCCTTGCTCTCTTCTCTCTCTCTCTCTCTCTCTTTCTCGTGCAACCTTTCAGCCCAGACCATCAACTCACGCCAGAACGCCAGTTCATGGCCGGATTGGGACAGTCTCGAGATTTTGGATAAGATATCGCGACCCTTTTAAGGGTTTTCAAATTCTCTGCTTCTCTCTGGTCGAGTCCCTCTGTGCGAGGTTCTATCGGTTCGCAGATACTTCACTCGCCCTCCCCCCCGCGTGTGTCGATTAACGACCAGGAACGCGGAGACGGAAAGGGGGAAAAGAGAGAGAGAGTTATCAACGCGATATCAACGCGGGTTCGTTGTTGGGAAAGGGAACGAGTGGTGGTGTTCCATCTTGAGGAGAAGACGCCGCGCGATTCGGTGGCGGTGGTTCTCCGGTGGATCGATTCCCACCGCCCGTATAAAGGAAGCACGGAAGTGTGATTCGTTTCTTTTTATTTTCGTCTTTTTTCTCCGTGTTTCTTTTCTTTCTCTCTCTCTCTCTCTCTTCTCCTCCTCCCCTCTCTCCTCTTCTCTTCTCTCTCGTTGGAAAATTCCAGCTGTAGGAAACGGGGAGAGAAAACAGACCTTTCTCGGGGGATGCCATTTTGTCAGACAGGGAGCGCGCGCGTGTATCGCGGACGGTCGCGTTTGTGTTAGGTAATTATCGCGGGCCTCGCCACGGTACGGTTCTTTCATCGTAAACAGTCCGCGTGGACGCGTTACACCTACTTTGTTTCCCCCTTTCGCCTTCAATTTTCATTATGATCTTTTCAGAAAGGCGCCACGCCTGTATAGAGAGGTAGGTGCGCGTCCGCGGCGGCGGCCTCGAGCCGCTATCGAGATTTTTTTAATTAAGAGTTCACCTTCGCGCTTCATTTGGAATCCGTCCGCTTTTATCCGGCTTTCAACCGGCCGTGTGCCGTGAAAGTTGATTCCGACGGCGACGGGTATCAACATCTTGTAGCTGCAGTCGCACAAAAGCAGTCTCCGGATTTCATTCCGGAGGTATCGCGGCCTCTCCATTTTCCCCTACACCCTCGCCGCGCCACTTAACAACTTTTCTTTCTTTTTCTCTTTCTCTTTCTCTTCTCTTCTCTTCTCTTCTCTTCTCTTCTTTTCTTTTCTTTTCTTTTCTTTCTTTTTTCTTCGCCTTTGCCACCCGTGTCCTTAGCAAGCTTCCAGCGCGGAGACAATTACGTCGCGCGCATACCGCCTTCAGGAACGGATTCGTTCGCGGCCAGAGAGTCTCGACTCGATAACGCAAGTACAACGGAAACCGCGACGAGTTTACGCGGACTTGCGACTTTCTCGGTAAAAACCAGCGGTTATAAAAATCGAACACGAGTTACAGTATACTCGTGTATTACAATATATCAGTCATAATTCTATCAAAGAAATTCAACGTGATCGTAATTATCGCAATTATATTAAAATTATACCATTGTATATTGTAAATTACGTAATCGTAATTATATTGAACAAATTTCGAGAATACTACGTGCTGTTTGCTCGTCGAACGCCCAAAGTCAACATTCTTAGCCAAAGCTAAGACACTGGTATTTTCGTTACGTTCAGCCACTTCAACTCCCACGAGTTCCTTATCGATTCGACGAAATAATTTAGTCTTCGCCGATTGAAAACTCTGTACGATAACCCATGATACACGATATCGTTGTTAAAAACGATCGGTTGTCCTCCGATGGGTCGAGGAGCTAGGAAACATACGTTTCGACAAATTCACTTGTCTCATCGTCGTGACGTAATAAATAACACGATAAATAGCTCGATATATACTATGAATTTGTGGTATGTAGGATGGAGCCTAACGAACGTGAAATGCGATAGTTCATCGATCGAAGCGAATTTGCCAAGTTTCCACGCGTTTCTCGACGTTTTTCATCTTGCATTACGGAATTTTTTGAAACGACGCCGACAGACGAGGAGGACGAGTCGCGAATAATAACGAGCAAAAGACGTTGCATCGAACATGGTAAAAATGGTGGTATCTGGAAAAATCGCCGAGCGAGATGTACATATAGTCAGCGCCGCGTTTGGCGGTGGCGCGTTACGCGGCTCAGAGATTTTCAAGAGCGGCGAATCCGACCCTGTCGGCCCCCGCGCTTTCGAGTCACGCTTTCGAGCGGCTGGTTGTTTGTGTGTTTCAGTGGTGAACCAGCGTTACGATCCGGAAGTGCAATGTCCCGGCGGTTTCCTCGGCAACAACGTACTTATGCGGTGCAACGTGCCCAGTTTCGTTCGCGACCACGTTACCATTACGTCTTGGCTTCAGGAGCCGTCCTTCAACATCTACCCGTCGACGATGGGAGGTGAGTGAGCAGCAGCATACCTCCGGGTGATCCTCTAACGATGTCTCGTTCATAAATAAGAATGAGGAGCAGGCTGAACTCCCGCCGGATGAATACGGCCTGTCGACCCTTCCCGATCGCTCGTTTCCTCGTGATATTTGTGTTTGCTTGAAATTCGACAAATGGAAATCGCGCGTTTGACAACGTTCGCGAATATATATTTTGGAATTTGCGACTATCAAAGTTATTTCATTGTCATAATCATTAAATATAATTGGGCTCTCGAACTTTTATAACGCGATTAGACAGTGGATACGGCACAATACGGTGCGATATTAATGAAAAGTATGCAAAACGTTTGATGTAGGTGTGTTTATTACGTATGCATATCGAATATACATACGTGGCCTGCGACGATTGTATTTAATAATTAATGATAATGCTTGACAGTAAATATTTAGCAACAAGTTTACGGTTATTACTAAACTTATAGTTTAACACGTTCCGTGTTTGGCCGACTTTTGGTTACTTTCCGTTTAGGCTATTATACGATTAATAGTTTTGCTTCTGAAGTATGTCGTACAATTTCTTACATAACAGTGCAAAAACTATAATTCATCAAGAGAAATGTCTAAAAGTGTTTAAGATGCATTACAGAACAAAGCAATAAATTTAATTTTAAGGTGTTACTTTAACAAACAATTTTTTAATGACGAAAAAATTAACTTAATGTAAAACGTTTCAAATATTTTTTAGTATTATTGTTTATGTTCTAAATAAAATTATGTTATCATTTATAAATTATATAATAGTATACTTAGAATACTTATTATATAAATTATACATATAATACCTAAAAAGTAATATTTACTTTAACGTTATTTCGATAACAAATTTAACACTGTCTTCTTACGGAATTTAGTCGATCTTAATTCGAAAAAAAAAAAAAAAAAAATGATCACGATAGGATGGACGCGGTGTACATGTTATTGAGATGTCGATGTATGACACTTTGTAACAAATTTTCAAATTATCAAACATTCTTCGTTTCACAATGAAAATTCCAATTGGCTCGAATGGGAAGTTCACTCGTGGCACGGAACGTGTTAATAAATTCTAAGCATTTTATCGAATCATTCTTGGCGTTCTCTCGCTTTCGAATTATCGAAATTTGATATTTAATCTCGTAACGTCGAAGCCTAAATTTGTCAGTGCGTTCGCGGTTCGAAGTTGTAGAAATAAAAAAAAAAAAAAAAGAAGAAATAGGATCGTTATGTTCGCCGGGTCCGGACGCGGCGCAGAGTCGGCATTGTCGGTGCGAAAAGTTTTCGCCCGGAAGCACGGCTCGATCCCGTTAACGAGACAAACTTCATTAATTATGAAGAAGTTCGATCAGGTATGCTCCGTAGCTCTGAATGTGTTCGCTAATAAACCAGGCGGATCTGTTAATATACTCATCAATTGCAGTAAGACGATCGATAGGCAACCAAACTTTCGTCGTTGCGCGTTGCCGGAGGGTGGTTTAAGGGGGGGAGGGGGTGGTGGTTCGAAGTTGAACGAACTCGGGGAGAATAAACCCCCATTTGAAAAGCCAAATTGAAATTTATGGCGGTGATTCGTGAACTTGAAATAATTCGAGACATCGAAACCTTTTCCAAATATTTCGCAAGTTAGAAATTTGGTGTGTTTACGACTCGAACTCGAACTCGCAAAGTGTCACGATCATGAGGTTAATTGCGATCTCTGTTTTCACAGATGGCAAGTATCACATGCTCTCGAGCGGCGAGCTTATGATACTGAACATCACGCGGGAGGACGCGGAACGGTCTTATCGGTGCAGGACGCATCATCGTTTGACGCAGGAAACGGTTGTCAGCAGCAACGTTGGCAGGCTTCAACTGACTGGTGAGTGCGTTAAAATTCCTTTTTTGCCCCGGCCTCCGTTAACATAACGCGGTTTCGACCTGACGCGCGCGCAGTTCATTCTGAACCTGATCGAAAATTCATAACCGACTCAACTACGTTTACCCTGTGACCCCACGATACCATGTAAATTAATCGATACACATGGAGGTCCACACGGGGATCGCGTTTTTCTCTCATTTACATTTATGAGGTTGCAAGAGAGAGAAAGAGAGAGAGATCGATACGGGCAAATTCGACAAAATTTCCGGAGATCTTCTCCATTCTTTGACACTTTGAACTCGATTTGTTTTCAATTTGTGGTTGCGTGTCCACTTGTATTTATTCTAAGGTAAATTAGAGAAGACTAATTTACAACTTAAACTTCTGAAATTTTGTTACAATATAATTTACTTCTTGGTAATTTTTTTAAGTGCAAGAGAGAGATCGATACAAGTAAATTCGACAAGATTTCCGGAGATCTTCTCCATTCTTTGACACTTTGAACTCGATTTGTTTTCAATTTGTGGTTACGCGTCCACTTGCATTTATTCTAAGATAAATTAGAGAAGACTAATTTACAACTTAAACTTCTGAAATTCTGTTGCAATATAATTTATTTCTTGGTAATTTTTTTAAGTGCAAGAGAGAGAGAGAGAGAGAGAGAGAGAGAGAGATCGATGCGGGCAAATTCGACAAAATTTGCGGAGATCTCCATTCTCTGACACTTTGAACTCGATTTGTTTTCAATTTGTGGTTGCGTATCTTGTATTTATTCTAAGATAAATTAGAGAAGATTAATTTACAACTTAAACTTCAGAAATTCTGTCTACAATATAATTTACTTCTTGGTAATTTTTTCAAGTGCGATGATTCTTCAAACGTTTCAAGTGTTGTATAAAACCTTCCAGCCTGACATACGAGTACAAAGTTACCAAACTTTGAGAACCGTTTAAAGAAATCTTCGAGAAAAGTTAGTTCTCCTTTGGCTATTACACGCAACGTTCCGTTAATAACTCCGTCGAGGTTTCTTAACGAACAACGTCATAGAGCGAAAATTGTGCAAAAAAATTATAACACGTTGGTTCTTCTAAAGTTTACGAAAGCGCGAGCGCCGTTTCAGGGGGAGAGGGGCGAGGAAGAGGGGGAAGAAAACAATATTTTCTGTCGGTTAACACATTTTCTTTTAACGTCCCCTCTCCCCCTTATATCTCTAACGAAAGCTCGATGCACGTTCCGTCGAAGCTTCGCCCGTTAACCCGACTAATAAAGTTTTAACACGGGTCGAGGGTGGTTTTCGCGTGACCCGGCGATGGTATTAATAAGAGTATCGAAAGTGAAGGAGACATCGTCCTCCTGGACTGTACTGCATCCAACGGTGCTACAGAGAAAAAGTTTTCGCCTTTTATCGGCTTTAGGTGGACAGCGGCGAACAGGTACTCACCAGCGGAAACTTATTATTGCAGCCCGCGATGCGATATTTACAAATTTCTCGCGAGCACCGTTGAATATTTATGAGCCGGTGAGCGAGGAGCGTCAGATGCCGTGGATCTCGTTCTTCGATCCGATCCACCACCCATCCAGATCGTTCATCGTCGCTGCGATTCAAGCCTGATCTCCCTCGAAGTAGTACGTGAATCCGTAATTGGACAACGGCTAGACGCTCGACGAGTTTTCCCAGCAGCCGGTGGATCGAAAAATCGTACGCCTTCCCACCGTAATCATTTCCCATTCATCCCCTTTTCTCCATTCTTTCGCCTTTCTATTTTACTTTTCGTTCCAACGCCGAGTCGAGCGAAGGCGAAGACGTCGGTAGCCGCGGTTATTAAATTTTTTTTCAATAACAAAACGGGGGCAAAGTGGAGAGAGAGAGAAACGGGACACCAACCGCTGCAGGATATTCTCTCAGCCTCTTCGCCTCGTTCACGAAGAAAACCGAACTTCCGAGTCCCTCTCGCTGATCTAAGGCCAGCGTTCTAGATCCTCGTTCGATTTCAATTAAAAATCGCTCCGCTCTGCCTGCACACGCTCTCTCTGTCAATTATCTCATCGCTGGCGAGAAGAGCACCGACCGAGAGAAAGAAAACGTCATCGTGGAACTTTTATCCGACGATACGTATCGTCGATCGCAGTGAAATAATCGCCGAGCGTGATCCAATCCGTTCGATTCTCGAACGTGTCGTTGAATATAATTCCGCGTTCCTTTGATCGGACAAGCGATTGAACGAACTTTATCCGGCAAACAAACTGGTCTCCTCCGTTCTCTGTTGCCCGAGAGGATTCCGAGGTTTTGCTGACTCGAGACCGCGCGAAAGCGCAAACATCGTGACGCAATCCGCGAGAGAAACTCGCTCTCCTCTGGCTTGGTTTGTGCACGCACGATCGCGCTCGTTTCAACGCAACGCGTTTTGCGGCGTTGATCGATCGATCGACACCCGGAAGGCAGCGAGTGAATGGGGAAAAAGGAGGAGAGCGAGTTCCCCGCCGCTGAGCGGAGTTCAGGCTGGTTCATTAACGGCCGGGATGCAATTAGAAGCCTTATTTCGTGCGATTGGAAACACCGATAACGCTATTCAACCGGGATCAGGGATTGTTCCTTTGACACTGGATTCATCGACAGCCACAAAGCGTAAAACCCGTGTCGAAGCAATCGGAATTGAGAGTGTACGAAAAACAATAGACACGTTCGAGTCGCGAAAGCCAAATCTTTACTTGAGGTCAGATATTTTGATTAAATTTGATACTTTTGATTTTTTCGGCTACGATAGACGCGTTTATTTCTACCAAAGAATAAATGCAAAATTGTAGGAAATGTAGTGAAAATATAAAACAAACTTCTGTGTGGAAAAGAAACGAATGTCTTTATTTAATGAAATAGTTAATAATCAAATAGTGTGTGCGATACAAATGAGGTAGTCACGCGGCAAGGACTGGCAAAGAACTAAACTTTCTGCTCGGCATGGTCCTGTCCGTAACTGAAGAAAGTAGTATGAAGAGGATAGGAAACAGATGTCAACCTTTGCCTCTCATAAAGCCACTTTCAATGGGCTTACACTGCTGGATGGTCGAGTCGTTGTATTCCAACAAAAATTTTATTGGGTGATTAAAATCGCGAGCGTCAGATGTTGGCTGGCTATAGCAATCGGTAGTACCCGATGAGCGTCAGACATTGGATAGCTGTAGTCATCGTTGGTAGCAAAAAGGTTAACCTCTTGCGCTGGAATGACGCACGTCGAGAATTTTTTGTTCCAAATTACAACATTTTAGTTTTAACCTTCTAAGTACTAACGTCCGATACATCGACGGTCTCTCTCTTCTTGTTTTGAGTAGCTTCAGTCTTTGTTTGATTTGATTAACTTTGAAAATATTGGAACTACAATAATTTATATGAAAACGTGTAAAATTAAACTTCGCCTGGCGATTTAAATCCGTTCACTAGCGAAGGGGGATTTAAATACCCCGTAGTTAGAAGGTTAAGTATATTCAAACGTAACAAAACAAATGACAAGTTTAGCACTTCTTAATCATTTCTATCCAGTGATGTCATACCGACGAGTTCAAAAGAAGAAGAAAGCGACGAATTATTGAATACGGTTCGGTCACTCGTTATGGTCCGCGAACCAGTTGCCAGCGCAAGGCTTTAACGACCGATTGAAGATAAACATCTTTCTGCAATTAATAACGAGAAATGATTTTGTCTATTTCGACAAGGAAAAAGAAACTAACCGCAAGAAACGGCTGTTCGAAAACATAGTTTCCTAAATACGACAATACTCGCGACTTTGCCAATGGAATTCGCGCGATTCGATCAGCGACGCGTCGTCGAAATCGCAGCGGCTCGAAGGTGGGGTTAACGAGCCATCGGATGATCGACGTTTCGATCAAAGTGAAAGTTCTGTTAGACGCGTAATTGCCGGGCTCGGCGAGGCTCGAGGTCGCGAATCGAGAGCCCGTCTGAAAAGGTTTTCCCCGGTCGTTCGCCAACGGAGGCCTGGCTGGCGTCACTTGTTATCCAAGCGAAGCTTGGCTTCAACGCTGGCGTAACGTCTGCTTTGGGGGTTAGCTGCGCGACGGTGGAGAGAAACGGGTGAGGCGGAAAGACGCGAAGGAGGCGAGGAACGTGGAAGAGGAGAAGAAGAAGAAGCGAAAAGGGGAGAAATCTCCACTCGAGCCGGGGCTAACTAATGATGCTTCTCTTCACATGCCACACCTACCCTCCAGATTCATGTTGAAGCTTCAGACGTGCCTATACACGATGCGTGCGGAGAAGAGAGAGAGAGAGAGAGAGAAAGAGAGAGAGAGAGAGAGAGAAGAAAAGAAAAGTAGAAAAAAAGAAAGAAAGAGAGGAACGCGCAAGACATTCTGCACGTTCTTCGCTGCCACTTTATCCCTAGAACGTGACCGATCCCCCACGCAGGAAGCCTCATAATTCATCGCTCGTTTCCTGTAGCTCTCCTGTTTTCTTTATTTACTTTTCGTCTCTCTTTCTTTCTTTCTTTTTTTCTTTCTTCTTTTGGACGGAAGGGTGGTGCCTCTTTTTTTTTTTCCCTCCACGATCGCTCTCTCCGTATATCGACCTGTCATCCAGTCGATAAGTCTGCGCAGGCTGCTACGGAATAATTAATACACCGGCAGCTTGATCGCAAGCCGATAGCCTCGCGTAATCACGGCGAAGGTAAACGAAAGTACGATGAAAATTGGGTTCGCGATAACGCTCGTCTCGTCTCGTTTCGTCTCGAATCGACACTGTGCAGCCAACTCGTTTCATTTTTAATAACGCGCCAACTCGTACCGGAATTATTATTTAAGTTTCATCAACGTTATTACAGCCGCGTGGCGATTATTCCGCGGCGGCAGGGGTACAGTAAAACGGGGACGAATATTTAAATACGACGGACAGATGGACTCGTGCTAATTAGACCCGCGAAATAGTCGACACACCGTAATCGAGTAGGAACCGAGTGATACTTTCGTTCCGGTCTTTCGATCATATTTACGATCGA